TTTTTAGGTTACAGAGTATTTTACCTCCAGCCAAACTCGAACCGTCGACCTTGTCTGTGGGGGGACAGGAGCTTATCATTAAGCTATGGGACCCTAACCCCAAAAGCAAAAATCTTAAAAACTTTTTCAGTTACTTGATGATAAAATAAGGAATTTGTATTTAATATTTATTAGGCATTTATTATAGAAAAAATGTAGATTTATGAATTCTTTATTTAAGAAAAATTTCATGAAGCATGCATTGGATTTATAGACTAAGGTTAAAAACATGCCTGTAAATATATTCTAATCTCTCATAGCATTAATACCCAATTTATGATGTCTACACTGAAATTTCGGTGTATACGTTAACATTGCTATGATGATATAAAAATGCGAAATAAAATGGCACCTTAATGTTAATAATGATACAATAAGGAAGTGTGATTTGAAGTGAGATTTGTAGAACAAAACTATTGATCACACTAGTGACCGAAATGCTGCTCAAAATTATTGCAATTAATCGAGTGGATATTGCCATAATTTATAATCATCTTTAATTTACAGTTTTAATCTAATTTATTGAATTCGATTAAATATTAAATCATTTACAACTAAAAAAAAACTATTATATTCGAGTCAAATCAAATAATTAGTCAATGGGTAATTTATTGTTGGTAATAGTATATTGATCATGTAGTATATATTGTTTGACTATAATTTCTACAAAAAATGATTAAATTTTGCATAGCCTAAAAATTATGTAATTTGATTGCACATAAATAATAACTAAATAATGACCTAAAAATGACCTAAAACTAATATGGCCACAGGTATCTGATTATAAGCTTATGACCTGTATAACCTATCACTGATACCTTTTGCCCGAAATATATTTTTTTCAATAAAATCTGGTGGGAAATTAGTAAACTCACAAATCAGATTGTCGAATTTAATCATCATTCAAATTTCGACGCCATAAATAATAAAATTTGTTAGAGGACACAACAACTTTAGAAAATCGGTCTTAAATGAATATTAAACTTGAAATTCATTATTAATCAATTAACTCTTCTGGCTTTAAAATTTCGAAACAGTATGACGATTTTGATAAATTTGGAGTACTAGAACTGCTATTATAGTTTGAATATTCAATATCTGACATATTTCTAATTATTTCGTCAGCATTATGAAACTCGTTTTTTCTGTCATCAATTTCTTTAGATTCCACGATTTTGCACAATTGATCAATTTCCAAACTAATATCTTTAGTAGTGGGTCTTTTTAGAGGATTTGAATCCATGCAATGTTTAGCCAATTCGATATAGCATTTTGGTGTTCCATTAGCAAATTTTGGTCGCAGCCCCTTAAAAATCTTTAATACAAGATCAGAATCAGAAGACGATTGATATTCGTCGAAAGCTCTTTTGCCATATGACATTTCTGCCATAATAACACCAAAACTATATATATCTGATTTTTGAGTATATGGCTGTCCACCCAATACTGCTGGATCTATGTAAGGTATTATACCACAAATTTTATTATTTGATATTAGTTCGTTAGCCAACGTTGCCAACCCTAAATCTCCTATTTTAATGAATTCTTTATCTCCATTTTTGCAAATTAATATATTTTTTGAATGCAAATCACGGTGTATTAATCCACGTTCATGAATCTGTAACAATCTGCAAAATAATTGAATTATATTAGCTGATGTTACCTTTTAAATTTGTAACTTATTACATACCCTATAATGATTGATTGTAATCTTGCGAGCCTCTCTTTCCATAAAATATCTTTATAGCTTTTTGACAAGTTATCAAGCAAATTTCCACCTTCAGCGTACTCCATTACTATATAAATTCTATTTGTTTTGAGATTGTTCGTAAGGCCATAATAATGTATAATGCGATCGTCAGAATGCGTGATTTCGAATGGTATTACCTTTTATTTTATAAAAAAAAATTCAATAGACAGGAATGTGAAATAAATAATAAGGATTTTATAAATAAAAAATAAAATAAAATAAATAAATAGACAAGAACAAGTAATAAATAATTGGAAAATAAGCGTATTTTCGTTTGCGATATCTATAGAGAAATCTTTTGAAGATTTTAAATATTTGAGAGCTACTTTTATTTCTTTTCCTAAAGCAGTTATCCAAGTAGCTTGAAAAATTTCGCCAAAACCACCCTCATCCAAAAGTCTAATATCTTGAAATTCATCATAATATATAAATGGTATATTAACTCTAGATTCATTATGGCCGTTCATGAGTCTTTTGACTATGGCGGAATTCAATGCTGCATCGGCAAAATCGGGCTTTATATCCAATGATCTTTTAAGGTTTAAATAAGCCTCATTATATTTACTCTTGAATTTATATATAATTCCCCGAACACATAATGCCTCAAAACAATTTGGATTTATTCCTAATATCACATCAGCGTCTAAAAGTGCCTTATCAAATTCACTTAAAGATCTATAGCAATACATATGTTTCTTTAAAACAGATACATCGTTTGGTTTTATTTCTAGTAATTTGTTAATATCTAAAAGCGCTTCAGAATGTCTGCCAAGAATTGAATAAACATCTAAACGACTAAATAATGCTTCAAAATTATTTGGTGCTAATACCAATAGATCACTATAATCCGAAAGTGCCTCTTCATATCTACAAATCATTTTATACATTCCTGCACGATTAAATAAAGTAAGTGCATTACGTGGATGATCTTTTTCTCTTAATTCTAGAGACCTGCTAAAATCTGAAATCGCCTTGTCATAGTCGTCAAATATTGCATAAATTTCTCCACGATCATTTAGTGCATAATCATTGTTTGGCTCTAATTTTAATGATTTGTTAAAATCAACAAGCGCTTTATTGTATTCTTTTGACGTATTAATGCAGTTATATTATTTGGTTCTACATTTAGCACTCTATTGAAGTCTTTTATTGCATAATCACATTTGTCCAATAATACATAAGTTGCTCCGCGTTTACATAACACTTCTAAGTTGTCCGAATCAATCTCTAAAGACTTACTAAAATCTAAAAGTGCTTCAGAAAGTTTTCCCAATCTAAAATAGGTTTCTCCACGCTTGATTAATGCTTCTAAATTATCTGGATTAATTTCTAAGAATTTGTTGAAATCTGAGAGCGCTTCATTATATTTATGCAAAATAAAATAAGCATTTCCACGATTCAGAAACATAAAAATATCATAAAAAATTTTGGTTGTTTTAAGAGACTTATCAAGATCAAAAAGTGCTTCTGTGTAGTTAAACATATTTAAGTAAGTTATCCCGCGATAAACTAACGCTTCAGTGTCATCTGGCTTAATTTTCAGCGACTTATTAAGATCCAAAAGTGCCTCTTCGAATTTTCTTAAGTTTATGTAAGTTGCTCCACGAACCATTAATGTATAAGGGTCATCGGGTCTTATTTCTAATGATTCATGAAAATCTAACAATGCAGCATTATTCTTACCCAGCCTAAGGTATGATTTACCACGTAATAATAATGCATAAGCATTAATAGAATTTATTTCCAGCAATCCATTTAGCTCAAGAATTGATTCGTTACATTTGCCCATATTCATGTAGGTTTTGGCACGCTTGATTAATGTTTCAGTGTTACCTGGCTTTATTTTCAACGATTTATCAAAATCTGAAATTGCATCGACATATTTGCCCATCATCATGTAGGCCGTCCCGCGACTAATTAATACATTGGTATCATCAGGCTTGATTTCTAGTAATTTACTAAAATCTAAAGTCGCATCGACACATTGGCCTATTTTCATATATATTGTTCCACGTTTAATTAACACATCAGTGTCATCTGGGTTTATTTTTAGTAATTGATTAAAATTCAGAAGTGATTCCGTATATCTTTCCAATTTTCTATAACTTTCTCCACGGTTCCTTAACGCCAGATTATTAGTCGGCTCTATTTCCAGTGCTTTATTAAAATATGAAAGTGCTTCTTCATATTTACCTATCGCGCTATAAGCGATCCCATGATCTATTAATGTAAAAATATTGTCTTCGCATTTACTAGATACTACGAAAGTACTTTCAGGAATACGTCCAATTTTCGTTGATCTATCGATGTCTGAACATCCTTCATCACATTTACCCATTTTTGTATAAATCAGTCCACGATTAAGTAGTGCAATAGCATTGCCAGGCTCAATTTCAAGTGATCTGTTGATATCTAATAACGCTTTATCGTATTCACCTAACAATTTATATAATGTTCCGCGATTAATCAAGCATTTAACATTGTTGGGTTCAATTTCTAAAGATTTGTTAAAATCTGAAATGGCATCATCATATCTTTCAAAGTCAAATGTGCTACTCCACGGTGACCTAGTGTCCAGGAATCATTGGCTTCGATTTCCAATGATCTGCTAAAATCAGAAATAGCGTTATCATATTTGTTTAGGTAAAAGTTTGTCATCCCACGAATTTTGAGTGCAAAAGCGTCGTATGGACTAATATCTAATGCTCTGTTTAAATCTAAAAGTGCTTCATTGTATTTTTCCAAATAATAATAAACATTCCCACGATATTTAAATACCGAAACATTAAATTTATCCAAATCTGAATATGTTATTCTGTTATTGCAAAGAGCAACAGAGTAAATTTCATGAGCATTATTTAAGTCAGAAAGTGCCTCATTGTATTTTCCCAGCGATGAGTAAGTTATTCCACGATTCATTAATGTCCAAGCATTATCCGGTTCGGTTTCTAATGACTTATTGAAATCAGTAAATGCTTTATGATCCTCATTCAACCAATGATAAGTTATCGCCCGGGCACATAGAGCAGTAGGATTTTCAGGTTTTATTTTTAGTGAACTGTTGAGATCTGAAAGTGCATCGTAAGAATTACCCAGTAACATATATGTTTCTCCTCGAATTTCTAATATCCAAGCATCATTCGATTCAATTTCTAACGATCTATTAAAATACGAAAGTGCTTTATGATAATTGCCCAAGTTTTTATAATATTCTCCAAGGTTATTTAATGTGGCAATATATTTTTTTCCGCAATCTCGTCTGTTAACATCTGAAAGTGTTCTATCTAATTCAATACAAATTTCTCCATATAATTTTTGTGCTGAGACACTATTTGGCTTGAGTTTTAATAATTTATTAAGGTCCGAAGCTGCTTCATCATATTTGTTCAATATTTTATAAGTTATTCCCCGACTTCTTAACGCAAAAGCGCTATCCTGCTTGATTTCTAGAGATCTATTGAGATCCGAAAGTGCATCATCATACTTGTTCAACATTATAAATGTTACACCTCGGTTTCTTAATAAAAGGCATTATCTGAGTTAGTTTTCAGTGCTTTATTAAAGTCTGAAAGTGCCTCTTTATAATTTTTTAAGAATCTATGAGTTTTTCCACGACTTCTTAAAGCCCAAGCGTTATTCGGTTCTATTTCCAATGAGTTATTAAGGTCTGAAAGCGCTTCATCATATTTGCCTAATGCTCTGAGCGTTGATCCACGTCCCCGTAAAATAAACGCATTATCAGGTTCAAGCATTGTTGCCTTATTAAGATCTGTAAGCGCTTCATCAAATTTACGCAGACAATAGTAAGTAACCCCACGTTCTGATAAAGCTGTTGCACTATCTGGTTTTATTTCCCAATATTTATGAAAATATAAAACTGCATCGTTATATTTTCCTAAAACTCTACTGTACAAGTTTCTCCACAAATCATTAATGCATATTCATTGTCTGGTTCTATTTCCAGCGATTTCCTGAAGTCTGCAAGCGTTCTTTCGTATTTACCTAACATTTTATAAATTTCTCCGCGAATCCTTAGTGTATATGAAATTGGCTCTATTTCTAGCGATCGACTGAGGTCGATAAGCGCTTCTTCATATTTATTCAAATTTTTGTAAATTTCTCCACGAATCATTAATGCATATGCATTATTTGGTTTTATTTTCAGTGACATGTTAAGATCTAAAAGTGCTTCTTCATATTTATTCAATTTAGTATAGGTTTCTCCACGAATTCTTAAAATATATGCATCGTCTGATTCTATTTCCAGTAATTTGTTGAAATCCATAAGTGCTTCTTCGCATTTATCCAGTTTAAAGTAAGTTGTCCCACGAATAAATAATAAATCCGTTAAAAATTTCTTTTTCTGCACCGAAAATTAATATATATTTATTGTCTTGTCCTATTTCCAGTGCCCTATTGAGATCTCTAAGCGCCTCTTCATATTTACCTAATATATTATAAGCTTCCCCACGAAACAATAATGTCATTGAATTATTTGGTTCTATCTTCAGCGACCTATTAAGATCTAAAAGTGCTTCTTCGTATTTTTCTAATCTTAAATAAACCATTCCACGGTTTGCAAGTGTATGCAAATTATTAGGCTCTATTTCCAATGATTTATTTAAATACCAAAGTGCTTCTTCATAGTTGCCTTTTTGTGCAAGAATTACTGCATATTCATATAGTTTTATGGGATCAATTGAGTTGAACTTTGGTTTGGAAGGTGTGAGTATAGGGCGAGGATCATTACTAATAAATTTTATAAAATTATCGATTTTAAGTGAATCTGATGTCATTTTTTATTATTTAAATTATATCAATAGTTTATGAAACCAAGAAATTTAAATTTTAATACAGTCAAACCCCTCTATAGTCACACCTTCGGGATACAAAAAACCGTGATTGTAAAGAGGTGTGACTAATATAGAGGTATTTTCTATATAGTTATAAATAATTGGTAAAAATAAATTTGTAATTATACCAATTTTGTGACTATAGAGGAGGTGACTATAGAGGGGTTTGACTGTATTTAAACTTCCAATATTTTTAATTTAGGGCGATTTCTTAACACCATGGGCTTGGTGCAGGAAGGTGATGAATTTAACAAAAAAAAAACGTCACAAAAAATTAATTTTTTTGCGAAATACTGATCAGAATTATATAATTTTGGTATTATTCGATTCATCTCATTGAGACAAATCGAATGGTACCAAAATCACATAATTCTGGTCGATAGTTCACGAGATAATTAATTTTTTGTGACGAATTTTTTTTTGTTAATTTCGTCCCTTTTTCTGCAACAAGCCCAATTGAAGAATCTTACATAGTATGAAGACTCTTGAATTCAAAATACGAATTTTGTGTTTAGTTAAAATAACTCATGAAAAAAGATAGATCAAATCTTTGTATTTTATTTTAGCGATTTATTGAGTAGAATGCTTGAATTATTGTTAATTGTATTTATTCA